TTACTGTGGCTTCAACAACAAATCAAGGTCAAAATTCATTTCACCGACTCCACAGAATTCTTCTCTGATTGCCACACACTCATGATGTGGCATACCCACCCCATAAAAATAACCAATTAGTTTTTAATAATAAATGTCAATGCTTTCAACCACATGATATGATTCAGACACTTACATTTTCAAGGAGCAAAAATGACAACTATAAATAAATCTTTCCTGGAACAAGAAGCATGTGGATGGGCTTCTGGGTCTTGAAGTGACAGTCACTGTCTGCATCTCCAAGTCAGAATTCAAGCTACCATTTAGTGGGAGACCGTCACAGAGTTTTCAAGCACAGCCTCTTTGCTACAGGGGGACCGGTAGAGCCAGGGGCCACTGAACCAAGAATCTATGATGGGCAAGTAGTGCCAACCTCTGCTTCACACACTTCTCTCTGAGGGTCACTGGCACCATTTTTGTTCCAATGTCAGGGCAGAACCTAGTCATTCGTATTTCTCAAAGTCCATGTATTGGTCTGGGAATGAAGCCCAGGCACCATCATTTCTTAAAGTTTCCTGGGTGATCCTAATGTGCAACCAAAGTTGAAGGCAACTGTTAAATGGGATGGAGACCAAGGGAGGAATTTACATTTTCTTCCTAATTTCTGGCCTCAAAAAGTGTAATGTCACATTGGAGGAAACTTACTATGAGATTAAGAATGAAGAAAGATTCAAAGTTCAGAGAGTCTTTGAAGAGGGGTGTGTGCATAAGTGTGTGTGTGTGTGTGTGTGTGTGTGTGTGTGTGTGTGTATGTGTGTGTGTGTATGTATGTATAATATGTGTCTGTATGTACGGGTATGTAGGTATACGAATGGATATGTACATGGATGTGTGTGTGCAACATCAGTGAAATTCAGGGTAATTAACAATACTGGCTGATAAAAGTTTTCAGATAACCTAATGAAAGTTCTCTCTTTCTCAGAGACTATATATAAATATGTATCTATGCCAGTTAAAGGTTTGGGGAGCTGTCTGAGACCAACATTAATGAGCTCAGATATAGTTATAGATTTTATAACCACTATAAAAAGAAGACACAATCGGTTTTTAACAATCGGCCATAAAAATTAAGAGGCTAGTATAAGTCTTAATTCTGTCCCTAAATTTCTATGCAGTTCTTTAAAGAAAAGTTGTGTAAGCTTGCTAGGGCCAATTTTCCTCTAAGGTGAAATTCTTATCAACCCTTAAGAACACCTGGGTAATGTTTATCCAGTCTGTGGAAAAGGGCAATGTAGAGTGAACGCATGTGTGTAAATTATCGTGAAATGTTGCCATGTGTTGGAGCCGATAGGTTGGTGAGTGTCATTTCCAGTTTCCCCATCCACCTTCAATTTCCCTCTCCCTGCAGCTTGAAGATTATCCTGTAGCATTGGCTTATATGGTGATTTCTGTTCAACTGCTAGTAAATCCCCCCCCCCCTTTTTTTTTTTAAGACAAGTGTTCAAATGTACAGAAAAGGTAAAAATCGGAGGGAAATTGAAACTTACGACTCAGAACTTTCCTCAGGGTCATGAAATATCTGTTTCTATCTTCTCAGCTCTCTATACACTGAAAGCCCCTGCCCCCCCCCAACACTGACTGTCAGTGTTTCACTTCCCAGGAGACCCTTGCTATCTACTATTTCAAGCTTCTTGATTGGAAGAAAAAATAATTGCCACAAAAGAGCCATTAGTTCCAAGATCCTTAACTGTCAAGGTGGAGGAGTAAAAGGAAAGCCTGTTTATGACATCTGGAAGTTGGGAATTACGATCCTTTTGCCCATGGTATGATGCTAACCAGAGGTGTGAGCTTCTTGTGCACAGCAAGCAGGGCACTGAGCTCACGAAGCCCTCGTGTTCTCAGCGTCCGTGATTCCCCGTTCACTTCACTGTCTGAATTTTAATGCAAAGGAATGAAAAATGTGCACGGAAGATCCAGTACCTTTAGTGAATTTTGATTGCTGTTTTCTACTCCTCAGGAAAAAAAAAAGTATTAAACAAAATGCAGAGTCACGTAGTTCAAGCCACCGTCTGTTTGTTCATAAAGCAAAATGCTTAATATGCAGAAATTTCAAGTGAGAGGAGATGTCAGGTCTCCAAAAGCCACTATTATCAAACAAAGCAGCCAGAAAATTAATGCACTTGAGATGACTGTGGCCATACTCTTGGCTATCAGCCAGTGCTCTTCATTTTTCTTGGCAGGAGTGTGCTTCTGAACCTCTTCATTGTACACACAAAGCCCTAGCTCCATGCTTTTGTTCTTTGACAAAAATGTCTTTCCCTCTTTCTAGAGTGTTGCTTGAGCACTCCTACCAGTCTTTCTACAAACATTTGCTGACCACGTACTCAAGAAGAAACACTGAAAACAAGTGGTATACAGCAGTGGCTAGATAGTAGTTAGATGGAGAAGTGGGTCATTCAAAGACCCGTGAACTTGACTCTCCCCCATTCAAATCAAGGTGTCCCCTCTGAAGCACAAAATGATCCTGCCTATGACCTCCTGCCATGCCTTCCTGCAGGTAGTTCTTTATCTCAGACATTTTAGAGGGAGAATCTATGTGTCTGCAGGAATGGTTCCATCACCCCTTCCTTCCATGGCTGCAGAAATCAAAACACCCCTCAGCGGCTGTCTAGTTAGCGTGATTCTCCAACCCAAGACATAATTCCAAATTCCAAATAATTAAAGGATTGGGTGTTTTAGGCTGTCCTAGTTAAGTGAAAATGGCCACCCATTATAAATTACCAGGTCATAAATAATAGGGCAAAAAGGCTTTCAAGGTAGAAACTTTCTTTGCATTAATCAAGAAATGAACACCCAAGAGTTTAATAACAAAATCATACACCTTTTTGGACAGTTGATATTTTGTTTATATGCATCATGACTAATAGTAATGGCTGTAATTCATCACATCAGAAAAGTAATCAACAGTGCTAGCTGTACCAAATTAAAATTGATTGAGACCTCCCATGACCCTGGCAGAAGCTAATAATTACATCATCTTCACGTAGCCAATAGTGAACAGCCAAAACACTATTTGTTTCTTTGGGTTTATGAACTCTATTATGTAAGGGCTAACATAGAAAAACTGAACAAAACAGAACAAAATAATGTTGGTATCTTTTCCTGAAAATTCCACAAAGAAAATTATTCCCACCTGCTTTGCCGTGTGTTATATGATCTCTCTTGAGCCAGGCACCATCCTGGTGTTCTACATATTTGATCCCTTTCATCCTTGCTCCATTCATGAAGGCATATTGGCACCAACCTCATACCATAAAAGAACTGAACATCACCCCAGAAGCCCAGAACCATAGCCATGAGTCACATCTATGTCCATCTGAAATGGATGTCCAGCGTGTCCATTCTGATGAAGTAAGCAGGGAGTCTGTATAATAATAAGACTGGATGAGTACTAGAAATATCTCTCGTGGATATGAGTACAAGAAACATCTCTCACAGATGTGAGTTCAAATGTTGGCCAAAAAAAAAAAAACACAAAAGCACACTTCTTAGAAATCATAGGTTATCTTTTCTAAAGTTACTGAAATTCGGTGAGGCATCAGACAGTCTCAAAGGATGGTTCCCTTACAGTCACAACTCTTAGCTCAGAGGATGTTCCCAACAATACACAGGAATGAAGGGTCCTTTACCAGTAAGTATCCCTAATGTCATTTACGTTCACCTCCCAGGAGACAGAACAGGATAAAACAAAAACAAGAACTGGGATGACCTTGCATAGACAAGGGACAAATGTCATCACTGAAGCCTGTGGAGTTACCAGCAAATGGTACTTAGAATGAGTCTTGTAAGGCTGGGATAACAGCTCAGGGAGCAAAGAACACACCAGGCAAACATGAGTGCCCAAGTTTGAATACTAAGCACTTATGTAAAATCCTGGGCATGGCAGCAAGAGGGAGGGGCAGGGCGGAGCCACACGGATCCTGGGGCCTCACTGGCCATCCAAGCTAGCTGAGATTGCAAGCTCTTGATTCAATGAGAGACACTGTCTCAAAATGTAAGGTAGAGAAGTAACTAAAGATGTCAGTCTCTGGCTCCCACATGGGCCCAGACTGTGAGTAGGCACACACACGCGCACACACACACACACACACACCCCTTGGGGGACCAGACAGAGAGATACTCTTGTCAAATATTTTCCCTCCCACCATCGGAATGTTAGGACAGTCACACCTGTGTTTGAGGAGAGCCAAACTCTGTTCTGACCATGCAGAGTTTGGCTGTTTTTCTCTTGTTTTGTTGTTGTTGCTGCTGCTGCTGCATTTGTATTACACATTCTCAAAGGAATGGCAAGGCAAGAGTTCAACAGTGACCCCTGACTCTGGGATGAGCTGCATCTTAGGGCCGCATCTTAGACTACAGAGTGGCTGAAAGCTCGACCAAGCATCCTCTGTCATGCAACTCAGGAAGCTGAAAAAACAAGCAAGTGCAGGAAGGAAACAGCTTTCTTTTCTCAGAATGTTTACCCTTTGGTGGGAGAAGCAGACTTGATCTGCTCTGTACAGTTGTTTCTTCTCCTTCCCCATCCTCCTGATTCTGCCTTTGTGATAGAAAAAAAAATAACATAGACTAAGAAGTATATCATGATTGCTTTGGCCTAGACAGCCTCCCTCAAACCTCCTGAACTCCAAAACGAGAACAAAACATCACATCACGGTCAAGCTAAACTTCACTGAGTAGGGTCCAGTCACCATGGGGAGAAATTAGCGTGATCAGAGCCAACGGTGTGACATTTCCTCACTGCTGTCCTCCTCTGCCTGAGCTGTGTACCACCTGACTGGCTGTAAGCTCATATTTCCATGTACTGTAGCATTCTGTTTCTAACTCACACACTTGACAATAATATGTTTGAACTCTTGAAGTAAGCTGGTCAATTCTTTGACCAGCCAGGATTATGTGGTGATGCTCACACCATCATATACTCAGTTCCTTGATCATCTGTCTCACTTTTCATCCTCTTCCAGGTATCTCCATGCCAATCCCAGTCTTTGGACTCCAGGATGACTCGAAGGTCTTTAAGGAGGGGAGCTGCCTGCTCGCCGATGACAACTTTGTCCTGATAGGCTCTTTCGTGTCGTTTTTCATCCCCCTAACCATCATGGTGATCACCTACTTCCTCACGATCAAGTCACTTCAGAAAGAGGCCACCTTGTGTGTGAGTGACCTCAGCACTCGGGCCAAACTAGCCTCCTTCAGCTTCCTCCCTCAGAGTTCTCTGTCCTCAGAAAAGCTCTTCCAACGGTCGATCCACAGGGAGACAGGCTCCTACGCAGGCAGGAGGACGATGCAGTCCATCAGCAACGAGCAGAAAGCGTGCAAGGTGCTGGGCATCGTGTTCTTCCTGTTCGTCGTGATGTGGTGCCCGTTCTTCATCACCAATATCATGGCCGTCATCTGTAAAGAGTCCTGCAACGAAGACGTCATCGGAGCCCTGCTCAATGTGTTTGTCTGGATCGGCTACCTCTCCTCAGCTGTCAATCCACTGGTCTACACACTGTTCAACAAGACGTACAGGTCTGCCTTCTCACGGTACATCCAGTGTCAGTATAAGGAGAACAGAAAGCCACTGCAGCTAATTTTAGTGAACACCATACCAGCATTGGCCTACAAGTCTAGTGAACTCCAGGCGGGCCAAAACAAGAACTCACAGGAAGACACCGAGCCGACAGGTAACGACTGCTCTATGGTTTCGCTGGGAAAGGAGCACTCAGAGGAGACTTGTACAGACAACCTGGAAACTGTGAATGAAAAAGTTAGCTGTGTGTGATGGACGGGAGGCTGTGACCAACTGCCGAGGCCGCTTGAACAAGTCTGTACCCGTGTGTGGGGGCAGGGAGAGAGGACACTGGGATAAATTGGACTACTCCAGGGAGTCAACAGTGTTTCTGCGCCTCGCTGTGTTCTGTGTGTTCAGAGGAGCGAGTCACAAAGTGTGCACTGGGACAGTGTCCTGACAGCACTTGTAACAGGAGCGTTAGGACACTTTTAACATTGTCAATGAGAGCTTTAAAATCATTGGCCTTTATTGTGCAATTGTAAGGAGGCATAACATCAATCTAATCGCCTTCTATTATCAAATAGAAACCTTGCTGCCACGTTGTTGATGGGCGGCATGGGAGTGAGTTGGCGATCTATAAATTGTTGTATATAAAAATAGCTAGAAATAATGAATTAGCCTCTTTTTTTAAAAAAAAAAAAAAGAAAAAAGAAAGAGTTTCAAATTCACCCTGACACATATTTTGAAAAGAAAAAAAATAGACAGTATTATGAAATTTGTATTGCTGATATAATTCATTGAAATACTTGACAATATTTTTCATTCTTGCTTTTCCATGGATGCCATTTTGAAGTGTTCACAGGATTGCCGGCATTTGCTGCATCTGTCGTTAATTCTCAGATGCGGAGGGTTTTAAATGTTATTCCGTAACAGGCTGCTTTCTCTTCCACTTCTTGGGCTTTACCTGAATTTGCAATGTGGTCTTGTTTCGCATATTTTCTTCTCTGTAAACTATCAAAGGATAATTTCCCTTTTTCAAGTACAGTTCCAGAACTTGCTTCAGAGAAACAGCATCCTGGAGGTGTACTGGTACCGCACTACCGAACGACTGCGTTGCGCATGCGCCCTTTGAGCAGTGACCAGTACGACGAGTTGACTGTCAGGGCCGAGCAATAAACTCAGGTTTCTCGCTGTTAGCAGTAGCTTCTTAGGCTATTTCTGTAGACTTCAAGTGACTTTCCTATTGACGTTTATCAGGTAAAACCGAGGTTTTTAAAGGGCTGGGGATGGAGCTCCGTTGACCAGCGTGCTTGCCTCACCCGCGGGAAGTCCCGGCTCGGACCCCCAGCACTGCATCAACAGGGCACCAAGGTGCATGCCGGTCATCCTAGTGCTCGGGAGATGCAGGTGGGAGGACCAGAAATTCAAAAGAATTCTCGGCTATCTATCAAGTATGTGGCCAGTGTGGACTGCATGAGACCCTGTCTCCAAAACGAAATAGATAAATATAGGCTTTTTAAAAAAAAAAAAAATGATACTTTCAGATTAATGTGTTTCTATTATTTCCTTAGAAGGGGTTAGCTTAGCTTCCTTCCACAGTAATCTGTTTGACTCTGTCTTATGAGCGGAGCAGTTTCTTAGGGATATAAAAATAAATGTGTAAGATCTTTGCAGTAAAAAAAAAAAAAAAAAGACAACTTAATTGGTTGTTGTCAAAAAGTATGAACAGATTTATTTTGAGAATCAATCGGTTCAATTCCTTTCTTACCAGATTCAGAAAAGGCTTTGTAGCAACTCTTGAGAATTTTTTTTCTCAGTTTTTCTCACTGGTTATAGACCTATGCCAGGCAAGCAAGGAAATGGGAAAATATCAGTTGGATCAAGGACGGTACCTAACACACAGAAATAAGCACCTCAGACTGGATCCAATTCATGACTACCAAGATCTAAAGCAATATTCTTGTTCCTTCCCACTAAAACTACATTCCTTTTACTCTGATAGACACTAGCTCCCAGTTAGAAAGCAAATATCGGTTACCACAATATTTTGTAGAAAAGGCTATTACTGACTAACAAAGGTCAGCTAAAGTTAGTCCACCTTGACACTGTGATATACAAGAGTGAGTTGCACATCTCTGTCAGGTCAGACGATAGACACAGGGTAAAATGCTGAAACCCTTATTTTATTGAAAACAAAGGTGTTTTACTGTAAGCTTTTGGGAAGTGTTACAGGTTTAGAAATTAAAGAATGTAGAAAGCTTCATTATGTAAGTTGGAAATTAAGATTTTATTTTCCCCTAAGTATGTCTCTAGGGCCACTTAGAAAGACCGTCAATTGCTTCAGACCTAAAATTTATAACGTGTCACTAGCTCTGAGATTGTATTTGAAAGAAGTTAGTCCCTGAGGACCAGGCCATATTGACTGGAAAAACGGAAGTGTTAAGAAATTTGCTCTAATGTGGTTGCCTTAGTTTAAAACTCTGCACATGCCAATATGTATTAAGGAAAAAATTACAGGTTCCATCCCATAAACTTAATCTTCGTCAGAACGAACATGAATACTGCCTGAAAGGTGTCTTTTTGATTACACATATATTACCAGTGTGTACGTGGCTTTTCTCTCTGTAAGTATCTATTAAAGTGTATATAAGAAAATATGTACCTGTATATATGTACAGACATGTTCCCATGCACTTTATTCAATATTTATATATTTATATGAAGAAGAGCGAGTCGGTGAGAACAGACACATGTGCATGTTTGAATCACGTTGATCTAAATGTGAGTTCATGTTCTAATATTCCTACGACCTTCCGTGACTGACAAAGGAGGGTTACTGTGTAACAAGAGATACACTTTAAATAAACTGGAAGCTGCTTTAATTATATGGAAAGATTTTAACACAATCCTATCAGGGTGTTGAAAACAATAGCCTCTATTCAGTTTATTAATCTTTAGTTGAGTGATAACTTTAAGCTTCTCTTTACTCTGGGTACTTCCGACCCCTATGGCTTTTAGATACACTCCTCCCCAGTAGGGAAAAATAAATAAATAACCACCAAGTGATTTATGGATCCGCGATGGAAGGATTCATTTCTAGCCAGTGCTATTAAAAGAGTAACAGACGTCACTCTTCTTTAAGTTGAATGATAGTCTCCTAGACTTAAGGGATTCAACACCGTAAGTGAGGAAAACTCAGGAAAAGCTTACATGATCTATTTGGCTACACCGCCATCTCGTGGTCGGTTTTGAAAAAAACGCTACCGTAGTCCAATCAAATCGCTCCCCAAGGCTGCTTTTAAGCAAAAGGGTTCTTGTCCTATTTTGTGCACTGAAGAAACATATTTATAAAGTGTTAAGTTATTCTGTGCCATATGTAACAAATACAGTGAAGATTTATTTTATGTACTGATTTTAATCTATTCTAAAATATTTCAAGAATGAATGATTAATTGCAAATAAAGTATATATTAAAAAAAAAATACCAGTGAGTTGATAGCTGTGTTTGCTAAAAGAAATTGCCCAAAACCTTCCAGGTCTTCAAGCTGAGGATAGTCGGAGAGTAAAAGCCTGTGCTTCTGGAGCCATCTCCCGAAGCTACAGCTGACTTCATCAGCTTAATGGTCCTGAGTCAGCTTCCAGTCATGTACAAAAGATGGATTCTCTGCATCCTGCTGACACAGCCAAAAAATATAGAGGCATTCACACGGGTGTGCACATGCAAGGGGCATTGCCGTGTATGCACAAACATACACACTCCCTCACAGGAGTCACAGTTGACCAAGGACGTAGAGCATTGTCATTAAATATGCCAGAAAGTCACTGGAGTCATCGCTTCATCTTTAAACATAGAAAAAGGCAGGGCTTTGTGGTACCTACATATAACCCAGCACTCGGGAGGAGACCGGGGAGGGGGGTGGATGCCTACAGATTTCAAGGACAGCCTGAGCTACATGACACCCTGTTTCCAAAAAAAAACTCAAAAATGAAGACATTGTAGAAATGATTGCAAACAGGGCTTGTTTGGTTTTTTTGTCCCCCCCCCCCCAGGCTGTCATACCGCCTGTGTTGAGCCCATACCTGCTATACCCCAGGTGTTAAGCTGTCTGTTTTGCTTATTTTACATAAATGGACTCCTTCACAGTGAACCCAAAGGTGGGAATAGTCCTTTTTGAGGATGAGAAAACTGAGGTTCAGTTAGTGGCATGTCCAAAGCCACACAGCCAACAAGAAAAGTAGCAGTTCAAGCCAGGGGCACCTGACTCCAACCCATAAACATTTCTCCCAACTTCACCCAAGTGGGGGAAGTATATTTCAGAAGCTACACACTCCAGTTTCCCTCTTTGCTTCTCCCGTACGCTGGTGATGAGCTTGAGTCACCCTCAACGCTCTGTACCTCACTGTCGTGTCTCTAGGATGGAGCTTCTGGGCCCTGCCCTGGCTGACAGAGGTGGCTACCTCAGGTCGCATCTGTACGTGATAACCTGCACCTCACTGAAAAGGTTAGAACTGGGTTTGATTGCTTTAGTTTTGTTTTCTGATATCATCATTATGATACTAAGGAGTCTATCTAGGGTCTTACACTGCTAGAGGCAGGCATTCTGCCACTGGATTGTAACCCGGGTCCTTATTTATGCTTTCCTTTGGAGAGAGGGTCTTAAGTGTTTCGGGCTGGCCTTAAACCTACCGCCTAGCTTAGGAAGGGCCTGAACCTCTGATCTTCCTCCAGTATTGTTCAGAATTTTCTACTGAGTTCTGTGAATGTTTCTGACTTTTAAAATGCATTTTACTTTTGCCACCAAGATAGAGGTTCCTCCACGTGGCTCCCTATGTCCCATTTACCAGACTGTCCCCAGATTTATGGTCACATGCAATCTGTGGGTAGCAGAACAGATTCAGCCACTCATCTTTGGTAAGTGAATAGAGAGAGCCAAATCAACAGTAGAAAACAATAAAAGGGGATTGACCCATGCGGTCACCTTGGGAAGGGGTCCTGCCCATCGCTGTCTCGGCTCCAGTCTCTCCTGCAAAGTCGGTCTCTGCCCGCATCATCCTCTAACAAGCTGTAAGTCTTCCTCCAGGAGACAAGTTTCTCTTCTAGCTGACAAGAACTCCTTCTCTGCTTGTCCCCCAGGGCGTGAGCACTTTCTCCTCCCAGCAAGATACTCCTGGAGAAATTCTATTTAGTGGGTGATCCATTTCTTTCAATAGTCTGATAACTATAGAGGAGATGCATATCTCTTTTGAATGTATTTGTTCCTGTGAGACAGACAGACCTCTATTTTCATAAGTAACTGAAGCGACTGAGGCCTTGGAAACCGTCGACATCTCTTTAGCTGTCCACCCTCAGCATGATCCAAAAGGCAAAAACCAAAGGCAAACATTTTAGGCACCAAGAAGACAAAGGAGAAAAAAAAATGGGACACCAGTAATGTTTTCCTGGTATCCCTCAAATGACCTCCAGGTAAACAATTCCCTTCAGATCCTCCAAAATTCATATGAATGTTTATAATGTAACACTAGAACAGGTTTTGAAATAGAATTTCCTAAATGCACACTGTATTCAAAAATTTTTGTCCCTATCCCTATCTACTCCCTCTAAAGACCTCTCTCCTTGTTATTGAGATACACACACATAACACATGCCATTCTTCAGAGTCGATGCAGTATTGCTCAATTCTAAATGAATATGTAAAAGGCTGGCCTCTGGGGAGACCCTACCAAGGGGCTCACCCCTGGGGGAGCCTGATTCTTCCTCTTTCTGTAGTCACTGGTCACCTGTAATTCTCCATCTGCAGATGGGTCCCTCTGAGGTTTTCCCTGTCCACACCACTGTCAGCTGCTGGACAGTATGCAAGTCTTGTTTAGTCTGCTATGAAAGAGTATCTTCTACCTATGACAGAGAACCTGCCCCCTCCCCATGAAATCCCAACAATATTATCACCTAACATTGAGTTCAAGCCATAACAAAGACTTGGAAAAAAAATCCCTAACTTTTAAGATTTATTGTAAATTAAGAAAATTGACAAAGTCTTCCTCATGTTTTATGGTGTGTGGGCATTTGTCCCTGTAAATAAACAATCAACAGTTATATCACTTTTTGTTGTTTTCTGATTATTTGCATATAGATTGTAAAAGCAACGGGTTCTTCTGAATAACCTTAATAATATACATACCAAAGCTCCGACCTCCCTTTTTATAGAATAATTTTTTATTAAATTCGGTTTTCTGAGTTTCATACTTGAGTATAACACATTCTGGTTACTCTTACCTCTTATTCTGTCTTCTTTTCTCCTATCCCTGCCAAGCCCGTTTTTGCCTTCAAGTCTCTTTCTCACATTCATGTCTTCTGTTTTGTTTTATGACCTATTGATTTTAATCAGGACCATTTGTATGATTGTGGGTTTGGAACTGTCCATTGGAGCTTGGTGAACTCACCCATGGGCACAGCTCTGAAGACAATGACTGTCTCTCCTCCAGAATCTACGAGTAGCAGATAATTCAGCAGAAGGGATGGGGCTCTTGGGGCTCTTTCCTCATCCATGATGGACAAATGACAGGCCCAGCCTTGTGTAAGTCCAGGAAGGCAACCTCAGCTGCTGTGGGATCATGATCACGATGGCAGCCATCCCTAGACGGTAGCATTTCAGAGCCTTCAGCCTCATCTCCCTCCCAACTCTTGCATCCTTTCCTTCTCTCATTTCCAGTGTTCCCTGAGCCTTGCCAGGGGTGACATAAATGCCCTGTTTAAGGCCAAGCACTCAACCATCACTTTTTCTCAGCACCTAGTACTGCCTGGTTCTCTGCATTCACTTCTGCTCGCTGGAAAGAAAGCTTTCTCTGATTAAGGCTAAGATTAGCATTTGTCAATGGGTATAATTTATTTATAGAAATAAATATTTAGAAGGCAATTTAAGCTCATGTCAATTTAGCTACACAATAGAAATTTTCCACCTAGGGCCCAAGACCTGCTCTCATGAGGTTTTTGTTTTTGTTTTTGTTTTCAGTACCAGGCATGAATTCCTTCCTGTGGAGTGGGCCTCAAAGATTGGTCGGTTGCCCTTATTAACACAAAAACACAACTCTAATTGTGAAGGGAATAAGAAATAGTTTATTCTGAAGCTAAACAAATTTGAACAACTATAGTCTGGGACCATTGATTTAGATTACCCAAAATTCCATGTTCCGACATGGTAACACGCAGTAGTAAAACAAAGAAAGGAGTAAATCAAGGCATTTTTTTAAAACACATTGGTGAAAACAATTAAGTTGGAGCTATAGACCTCATTGGCTATCTGATGACACTCTTATTCTTGTAGTTAGTGGAAACTGAGGGTTTGTGACGTTAATACATTCCAACAAGTTTTATGTGTTAGTCACAGGAAGTTAGTTCACACACAGACCTAACTCCTCTAGCTCCTTTAAGGAGCTAAAGATAGCCCAAGATAAATGTTAGTTCTGGACCTCTCCACAATCACCGAGGCTCTAGTCGGTTAATCGCCCTTGCAGAAGGCCCAGCTGAAGGCTCATACTCTCTGGCAGGTTAACCTTGTAATTCATAGAGTTCACAGCTGGTTAACACTATTAATGCTTTTTCCCTTTGTACTGATCAGGGTTCCCTGGAGGGAATAGAATAAATATATAGCCCATATATGAGATTTGTTAGCATGCCTTAGTCCAAGCAAACAATAGTTGCTCAATACATGAGGCTGGGTGTCTCAGCTGGTCTTCAATATGTGTTGGATCCCAAATACAGAGATTTACATTGAAACAAAACTGAGGGTGAGCAGGCAAAAAGTGAAAGCTTTTTTTTTAATCCTAATTCTTTACATAGGTTGCCAGGTGTGGCCCAGAATTAGGTTGGGTGCTCTGATCTTAAGTGATCTGGATTTCAAGTGGGTCTTCCTACCTTCACGATCCAGTTATGCGAAACTCCCTCACAGGTGTGGCAGGCCATTTGGGTTTTAGTTAATTCTGTCTGTAGTCAGGCTGACAATCGAGAATAGCCATCATCCTGGGTAGCACCTCCTAGGACTATGAAAGCTAGCTGGCAGAGTGAGAGCATCCAGTTCAAGTCCAGCATGACTTCTCTTTGAAGGTGTGTGGTAGCTTCAGCAAGAGATGCATCAACTACTTCTGGTAGGCAACAGAGGGGAGCTGTCAGAGCCTTGCAATTTAACAGCAGTATGTTCTCATGAACCAGCACACCATATGCTTATCTAGAACTACCTTTAAGTGGCCCAATGGCAACTGAAGACAGAAAGAAAGCTCAGGTCTGGTCTTTTGCACTTGCCTGACCTTGGGTAATTGTTTCTTTTACCTGGAAGGTAGAAGACTTAGAGATAGTTGAGGAGCCTGTTTGAGTTCTGAACATACCTGAATGTTGGA